ATAGCTGATCAAAAGGGGCCATAACAACCCACTGAACTATAGCAACTTGTTATCTGACTTACCGAGTAATCGCAGCGCTACTCCACCAGGAAGTGAACAGATCAGCCACAAGACTACCCTGCTGTTTGAAGAGAGGGCTCTGCTCTTTCAGTGCCTGATTCTTTTTTTTCCACAGATGAAGAGCATAATATTTTCCCCTGAAGCCTTGCTGCTGAGGGTACAAAAGGAGCATAGGAAAAAAAAAAGCTTAGATTTTTTTACTTTTATTTATTTTTCTGTCTTCTGTAAGTCTGAATTTTTTCTGTCTAATCTGCTTTAGAAGTATAATTTTGCTTTATGAATGGGTAAAACCATTAAAAAACACCCTCTTTCCAAATTTTCAAAGTGAAAGAAATGTGATCACCAAGTAGGTTTTTGGCATTACCCTGTGTTCTTTTATGCTACTGCACCTTTAAAGTAACAAAGCCGTGCAAGGACTTTAAGGCCTGTCAGAAGTTAGAGTGAGTCATTTCACACAGCTTATGAATTCCCTCTCACATTGCTATAATTATTGTTTATGTGGGATATGTACATTATTAGACCCCGTCTGAAGAATGAGATTTTTTTCTTTCAGTAATTTTATCTTTCATGTCCTCATCTTAAAGGGTTTGAAAGTAAACCAGAACTGGATTACTACCTTGCTAACGGGCACCCACTGTTCACTGAAAAGCACTGCAGATAAGAGCACATTACTGAATATGAAAGCACACTGAGTGAAGTCATGCCTCCTGCAATGCTTTGCAAGAAAACTCAGTTGCTAACCAAATATCCTACCAGAAATAAAGCATTAAAAGCAATCAGCAACAGAAAGGAAAACTTGTGAAATTGCAGGAGGTAGCTGTTGGAAGGTCAACAAAGTTTGGAATAAATGATGTCAAGTGCCTGGTCCATCTCATCAGTAAGTAGAAATAAAGTGCTTAGTCAAGCAACAGAAATTCACAAAAATTCACAATGCACTACTGAACATCAGTGATGATTATAACCTATATTGTCCAATATTACAATCCAGGAGATATGTATTACTAAACCAGCATATTTTGAAGTGAGTAGGTTTTAATTTCTGCTAGTAAGTTCACAAAAAGTTTCCCAATGGAGAAAGAGAAATCCTGACCACAAGGAACCCATGGAAAGAGTCTAAATCATCTCAAAACAGATCTGTTCACAGACAACACTGGAGAAATGATTCATGAAAAGCATTTTAGCAAGCAGTGGAACAGCAAAGTGCATGAGCTAATTAGGAAAGATAATGGGAAAGGGAAACCAGCATATTCAGATATAACAAAAAATGCTTTGTTATAGCACTTAGAGGATGTTGAGGCACCTATGTCGAGGACAATAGGAGATTTCAGACCCTGCACTGAAGAAAGAAGTACCTTTCTGAATCAAGTCTGCTGCTCATCACAAGCCTAACTGAATCTCTACTACAAAACAACGAAAGTTACATCAGCTGCTTAGAAGGACAGAAAGGGACAGTGAAATCTTCCAGGCACATGATGGGAATGCTTGCTTTCCTGATGCTCTGTGGCCCACAGGTGGGTGCTACCTAAACAGACTTTGGCCTTTAGGATGGCTCCCCAGGCTTTGCCGATTCTGGCAAATCTTTCTTACTGGACCCAAACCCCGTGGTCACTGTAAACATCTGAGTAGCATGTGCAGATAGAGTAAGTCTCTGCCACCAGTCACAGTTCTAAGACTTTGGTGTCCCATGACCAGTCAGCACCATCTGCTCTGGAAGGAAAAGTAAGGAGTAGGAACCACTTGTTTATTTCACAGTTATAGAATCATAGAATCATAGAATTGTCAGGGTTGGAAGGGACCTTAAAGATCATCCAGTTCCAACTCCTCCGCCGTGGGCAGGGACATCCCCCACTAGATCAGGCTGCTCAGAGCCCCATCCAGCCTGGCGTTAAAAACTTCCAGGGATGGGGCTTCTACCACCTCTCTGGGCAACCTGTGCCAGTGTCTCACCACCCTCAGGGTGAAGAACTTCTTCCTAATGTCCAATCTGAACCGATCCATCTCTAGCTTTAATCCATTCCCCCTAGTCCTATCACTATCCAAGATTCTTTTAGCCCCTCCACCAGCTTTCTTGTAGCCCCCTTGAGATACTGGAAGGCCACCATAAGGTCTCCTTGGAGCCTTCTTTTCTGCAGACTGAACAGCCCCAGCTCTCTCAGTCTGTGTTCATAGGAGAGGTGCTCCAGCCCTCTGATCATCCTCGTGGCCCTTCTCTGGACAGGCTCCAGCATGTCCACAACTTTCTTGTGCTGTGGGCTCCAGAACTGGACACAGTACTCCAGGTGGGGTCTCAGAAGAGTGGAGGAGAGGGGAAGAATCACCTCCCTTGACCTGCTGGCCACGCACCTCTTGATGCAGGCTAGGATACTATTGGCCTTCTGGGCTGCAAGTGCACCTTGATGGCTCATGTTGAGCTTCTCGTCCTCCAGTACCCCCAAGTCCCTTTCTTCAGGGCTGCTCTCAAGCCAGTCACTGCCCAGCCTACATCGGTGTTTGGGATTGCCCCGACCCAGATGGAGGACCTTGCACTTGGTCTTGTCCTTCGTGAGGTTGGCCTGGGCCCACCTCTCAAGGTCCCTCTGGATGGCATCCCTACCCTCCAGGGCGTCAGCCGCCCCACACAGCTTGGTGTCGTCAGCAAACTTGCTGAGGGTGCACTCAGTGCCACTGTCCATGTCGCTGATGAAGATGTTAAATAAGACTGGTCCCAGTACTGATCCTTGAGGGATTCCACTTGTTATCAAGCCAAACCCATGAGATCCTCAAAAATACCTTGAAATAATTTGATTATTTTGCACAAAGTCTTCCAGGATGAAGCCTCTGTAGGCACACAGTCCGTGACAGTTTAAGGACATCTCTATTTCCTTCTGTCAAGGGTTAGGCCTGGGCCAGCCACTAAATGAATGACAGATGCTCTCTAACCTCTCTCCCTCCCCCAAAGGGAAGGAAAAAGGAGTAAGGCAGAGAGACTTACGGATTGTAAAACAAAACTTAACCAGCTTTAATAAACAATAATAGTACTAATAAATAATGAAAATAATGAACTATTTTTTGGTAGTAATTGTAAACATTAGGTGTTATCACTTCTAGTAACAGGCACTGTATGAAAAAATGTGCAGTTAACTTTAGAAAGTGCAGTCTCTTAAAAGAGACTTGGCTGGAAGGTAAAATCACTGAACAAAATTGGTTCTGTTTAGCTCAAACCAGGACACCCTGACATAGCTGGGAACTTGGAACCACATGAACTGAATTATCCACAGTGCTACTTCACGTCTGTTATTCCTGAGTGCTTTATAATTACTCTTCCCTCATGCCAGCCTAAGAAAAATGTTGGTGGCCATTCCACTTGACTCAGCTCTCCTCCCAGAGACAAAGCTCATGAGCAAACATGGACCAGGTCTGGTTTACACCAGTGAAAGATTGAGCACATCATCAGCCTGGCTGCTGTGTAAAGACAAGGAAGCCAGAATACATTCAGGACTCTGAGGTCTTCTAGTACTCTCTGTAAGAAGAAATATACTATAAGATAGTGCAGACTTCTATCCCTACCTATATATATTTCATTTCCCACAGTGCTGCTGCAAACCTCAATATTTAGCCTCTCCTTTCTCAGTTTTCCTCAGCAAACTGAGGTTGTGTTCAAGTTCAGTCCTTCTGAAGAGGTACTTAAATTTGGTATCAAGAGATTAAAAAGCTGTTATGAAAGCTGGCACTGTTTGCTCCTCCTCTTCCAATGTGCAGTAGAAGGATGAGAAAAAAGAGCTATTTTTATAGACAACGAAAAATAGCTAAGCATGTGTACACGCATACGAAAGGAAACCTGAGGGTTTGTTGCCTCACTGGGGCAGGTGACTGCTGTCTTTCCAAGGTACAAGGCCCTCCCACAGATGAATCTTATGAGACCTTCTCAGGCAATGAAACCCTCCTCAGAGGAGAGACAGATACGTTGCCCACAAAATGAGTCCGTGTGATCACAAGATGATGTCCTGTATAATCCATGTCCAGAAAACCATTCATCAATAATTCCAAGCTTCCTACATCAAATACTCAACATCATGTCCCTTTTAAGTAAACAGCAAAGCATTTAAAACAACTTAAAAACTCCAAGAATTTCTAGTGAAATTGGTAGAAAACTTGCAAAGTCTAACTGTGCAAAAAAGGAAAAGAAAGCCCTTCCTCCCCAAAAGTGAATCCACCTACAAAATAACAATATATTCATGATTTAGAAAGAGGGAAAACCAGCATCTGGACTTCTCAAATCACTTCGTGAGAACTTTTCACTTTGAAAACATCCAACAGTATTCTTATGAAGCTCCATAGGCATTTTTTTTCCTTAAATTCTTTTGTACTCATAAGGCTTGCCTGGCCATTGGATATTCAGGTGTCTGCATCTTACTGCAGCACCAAACTGACAGCAGAAACATTCTGATCTCAAGTCTCTACCATTGTATTCTGTTGTAGAAGGTGTTATCATCAACCATTATATGTAATCTGGAGCCCTAACAAGCCAGAATTAAAAGCATTACCAGCAGAGACATAAAATACCAACCTCTCTTTCCCAGCTGTGCTCATATGAATAAAATATTCTGTTTTAATAAACAGGTCAGTGGTGTGTAAATTTTCTTACAAGGCACTGAAGGTGAAAAAAGATGTGATTTAGTTGGGCTCATACAGCTAAACAACAGCTATGTTATAGCGACATTATAATCTCCCCAAAACATTATGGGATAACATGAAATCATTCTTCTGCAAGAGAAGGATAAATAACATTTTCATTAAAATATCTTCTCCTGTATTGGGCAGGTCAAACCAGTTAATAGTGTTAATGATTCAGATTCAGGAAAAGGAAGCAGTTTAAGAACACCCCATAGGTGTTCCCCTCAAGAGTCTTTTACTTTTGTTTTTTTCACATAAGTTTCTTTTTTCTTGGCTCTCTTGGCATTTCAATGCTGCCTTATCATATGCAAAGTCAAAGTCAGTAGCGAGAGAAAGAGAGAATGGGAAAGCTGGTGAGCGTTGCTGGTGTCTGCGTGAGTGTGACTAGACCGTCCGTGGCCCCTGGGCTGGGGTTCAACTGTGATGTAGCCATTAATGATGCGGATCCGGGGAGGAGGGTCGGTAGCACTGCAAAGCAAGAGAAGAACGTCAGTCTAGACCCAGCCCAGACCTGCCCAATGCCCACACAGCAGGAAGCAGTCAGCCTCTCTGCCCCACTGTCAGTCTTCTGGGCTCTTGTGAATGATCTCATACTGGTTCCATGCTGACCAAAGGACAGGGTCTCCTAATGGTAGAATGCTGCCTTTTGTCTCTTCCTCACAGGTGTGGACATCTCCCACACCAGCCCACATCACTGCCCAGCTGAACTCTGAAGCAGTCTTGAGGAGGAACAGGACAGAGATTGAGGAGGGTGAAGACAGCACTGCAACACCTGCCCTGTACTCAGGTCTACCCAGCCAGCCTGCCCATTGCTCCCACGCAAGTCAGGTGGTTAAGACAACCATATTCCTAGAGTCTGTCAGCTAAGCAGACAATACGTAAGAAGAACAAAACAAGCGTTGTTGCCAAGGAGTGTCATTGCAGTGACACTTGCACAGCACAGCAGCAGTGAGGCACCTGCTTTCAGATTAATCCATCTTCCCCAGCCATGCTTCTGTATGCACCTCATAGCATGGACCAAACCTGTTACTATACCACATGTTCCCTTCCACAGGTCAGGAATTACAAAGAGTTTACATGACATGCTTTCAAGAGAGGAAGAGCTACTTCCAGAAGCGCATTCTAAAGTCTCTGGGAAAAGATCATCATGTGCCAGAGTATCTCCCAGTGGTAGGGAGTACTCTGAGGTGATGAACAAAAAGGCAGTCAGAATCTACATGATGCTTAACTCTTCTGGCAACACCTGATGGTGGAGAGAAATTTGTGCGCTCCAGGCTGCTAACACCATACAGAAGCACTAACCGAAACAATTCTGCCAAGCCTCCTGCAAGACTGTATTAAATCACCTGAGCTGTACATTTCCAGGCTCACAGAAGGAAAGCTGTGAATGACACACACGTAAGAAACCTGTCAGCTTCACCTGTGCCTTGGCTCTGTGGGGAATGCTTACAGCAGGAGCTGAAACTCCCAGTGAGATGTGTCCTGCACGTGTTTGAGCTTGAACCCTAAGTGGCTTGATTTCCATGGGATGCATGGCAGCTGAGCTACGTATGGCGCAAGGCCGGTGATGATCCCCTCTTCTTCATAAAGACTAAACGCAGCGCAGTGGTGTGGGCTGTGTGTGAATGACAGCTGCCTCTCTGGCACTCACAGCTTTCCCTCTGCAGTCAGCGTGCAGCAATCTCCCAGGCAGCAATAAGCATCACTTGTCTTTCCCAGTACTGTCATGCAATTGCTCACATCTCCAGATGTTCAAGCTCTCTGCTACTATGGGTTCACCCCTATAAAGAATTAGTCACGTAGCATTTAGGTAAGTTTCTAGCACAAAATGTTACAAAACATTACAAAACCTTACAAAAGAAGAAAGAGAAAGGCGACACTTGCTGATCCCATATTTCTGACTTAGCTTCCTAAGCTGAAACAGTCAGCTTAGCTTTTACCTTGCTGTTGCCTTGTAGTGCTTGCAATCCAGTATGCAACCCTAATGTACCTCTAGTTTAGTCACAGCAGCATATCCTCACATCTTCCCTGTTCTTCTGATGGCACTGCTGCTGCAAGTGCATACACAGCTCACACCAGGGCACGTGCTGACTTCCCTGAGCTTTATGGTGTCCTGGGTTTAGCTAAAAACCCAGTTCTGTTCAGTGATTTTTACTTTCCAGTTTAGTTTCTTCTAAAAGGCTGCACTTTCTGAAGTTAGCAGCATGTTTTTGCAGACAATGTCTGCTACTGGCAGTGATAACCCCTGATGTTTACAGTCACTGCCTGGCACTGGGATGCTGACAGGCTCCTGCTGATACTTATTCCTATAGTGACCAAGGCCACTGCTGGCGCTTGTGTGCCACGCTGGGGGTTCTGGGTAGTAAGAGGTTGCACCTCCAGGGGGTAATAGTAAGAACAGGTGACCAACAAGAGTATTCCATTCTGTATATGTCATATTAAGTATAAATGGAGTGATTGCAAGTTTATCTCCCTTTCTGCAATGGCCGGTGTCCAAGGGGGACTCCATCCAATCTCCTGCTTTTGCTCTAGATCCTGAGTTCCCGAATAGAGCTCCCTGTATCCAGCTCCTGCCGCCGCTGAGCCTGGGGCTGCCCCAGTGCCTCCTGCTCTGCAGCATCAGTGGGGATTGCTATCGGGGGAGGGAGTCGGGTTTGATATCAGGCTACTATTTATAGTTGTATATAGTTCTTTACTTTTATCATTTTACCATTATTTCTATTACTGTTTCATTAAAGTTGTCCTAGTTTTTTCTTCTCTAACCTGTAAGTCTCTCTGCTTCATTCCCTTTTCTTTCCTGTTTTGGGGGGGAAGGGGGGGTTAGAGACCTTATGTCCCTGTTAGTAGCCGGCCCAGCCTTAACCTGCGACGTATGGGAACATCTGTGTGTGAAAAACCGAACATGTCAATGTGCCAGCAGAGCGGGAGCTTGAGATCATAAAGACTCCGTACGACTCCTTAGCATTTCAACTAAACAGACTGTCAACAGAAACTCAAAACCAACCCATTCAGAAGCAGCTGGTATTAACTATATTAATAGAAAGTAAATTTTACACTAAAAACCAAAATCAGATGTGATCAATATAAAGATTTTTTGTACTGGTGAATCTTGCCCTATGTGTACATAGGTCTGTCAGTGGGTATGCAAACCTCCATTTTTCTCCGTTCCTCTCCAAACTGCTCACATTTAGGCTGGAAGGAGGAGCAGAGAGAGGGTACAAAACTACTCTAGAAAAGAGGAAAAGGAGTCTGGTCTAAAAAGCCTCATTCTGTCTGAATGCTTGGAACTGAACTGCTGCATTCAATTGCAGACAGCCTGAACAACTCAAAAAAGTGGTACAGCTGAGACCTAGGGACTTGACAGAAGTGGCATAGGAGAACCATGATATGCTCAGTCCCTTCCCCAGAGGGGTTAAAAAAAGAATGTAGAGGCTTTATCTCAATAATGTAGGCTTTTCTCTATCATCCTGACCTGTCTGGATATTTACAATACCACAAAAATAAAATGTTTTCAACCTGAGTATGGCAGAGATACAAATGGAGATACAAAATGCAAAATAAGGTGGACTCAGGTCTGCGTGTTATCTGACAGGAGGGAAAAATTAAGGTACACACTCAGCCACAGGCCTAAGTATATCTCATGATGGAGAAGGTGGCTATTTTTCAGGCTGCTGTAGTTCTCGTACGTGAGGAAGCTCTTCTGGATAAAAACCAGGGGATATACATGAATCTTTGCCCCGTAACACGCTTCATGTTTTTTATTAACTCCATCATCCATCAGGTTGTCACTCCCCTTTCCAGATGTCCACTAATGCCGTGGAGGTCATATGCTTTTTAAGACTGGAAGAAAACAGAGCCTGGAAGTACTGCATCAAATACTGTCCAAATACAAGGAGCACATATGCTAGATATGACCATTTCCACATATGTGGTAGCTCTTGGATAAAGGTCCAAAGCTTTGATCTGTACCATCACTGGATCCAGCCTTCTTTGAAAAAGACTACCATATATGGTGCCTGAAGGGGCCCTACGAGAAGGCTGGGGAGGGACTCTTTAGTGACAGGACAAGGGGTAATGGCTGGAAGCTGAAAAGCATTAAGTTTAGACTAGATATAAGGAAGAAGTTCTTTACCCTGAGGGTGGTGAGGCACTGGAACAGGTTGGATGCTCCATCCCTGGAAGTGTTCAAGGCCAGGCTGGATGGAGCACTGAGCAACCTGATCTAGATGTCCCTGCCATGGCAGGGGGGTTGGAACTAGATGATCTTCGAGGTCCCTTCCAACTCATATCAGTCTACAATTCTGTGGTATGCTCACAATCCCTCATAGCTAAATGCAAAATGCTCTAGGCAAGGCTTTCATTTGTATTATGTCTAATTTTCAACAAACCTAAGCATATGGAAGAAGATAGCTTGTCAATAAAAACACAGGCAGCATTGAGTAAACATGTCCTCAGCATGTATCTAGTCCCTGCAGAAGACTGGAATAATGGATTAATCAGTCTAAATTGAAGCCCAGTTTGCATGACAAACCCTCCTTCCTCCCCAGCCATTAGCTACCTTTCTTCAAGACGAACCCAGAGGTCATTAAACTGCCGCAGTCTTTGCTTCTTCTGCTGCTGCTTCTTCTTCTTTTTGTACTTCCTGTCTACCTTCTCCAGCATGTCAATGCTGTCAGGGAGGAGCAGGTGAGGCAGGAGCTCTTCATTCTCCTCCTCCTTCCGGGGCTGTAATGGCAGTGGAAGCTCCTGGGACATGACATAGGGACTGTGTGCTGGTGACGACGATGACAAGGCTAACAAGTTTTGGGGGGGTTCTCTGCTGGAAGAAGGAGGGAACACAGAGTATTTGAAAGGGCTTTGAGGTAGAATCCTTGTACAGATACTGTGAAGGCACATATAAAACAAGTGTTTCTCACTGACATATTGTCTGAATGCTTATTTCTCTGCCTTGTATTTCTGTAATTGCTTTCTTAAATCAATATCCTGATCAAGGAAGTTGTCTTCAGGGAAAAAAGCTTTGGAAAAGAGATTAATCTGGAACTGAATAAAGAGTGCAGTCCGGTTCAGGAGTAACTCTTGGGAATAACCATGTGTATCTACAAAGAGATAAAAGAGAAATTACCCTGAAAGTCAGAGGAGGTCAAACTACTCTCCTCTAGTCTGATGTACGTTATAACAGAGACCACATTATTTCTTTCAGTAGTTCCTGCCCAGAGCCACCTCACTTAGGGAAAGGGGCAGGGACATGGTGACTAAGGCACACTAGTTGAAGAAGCTAGTCCTAGATCAACAAAGCTCACTGGTGGAGAAGGTAAGTAGTGAGCTAGTCTACAGACTGTGGTCATGGCTGCAGAAATGTATCTTGCAAACTACTGTCTTTAAAGAAAGTGGCTCAGTGTACCATCAAGAAATCCTCTGGGACATCTGCAGGAAGTGCAAGCAGACTAGCTGATTCATCGTCATCTCATTTTCTCTTTCATGAAGCCAGATAGTACAGGTCAGTGAATGCATAACCTTTATAAAATATCAGGTCAGAGGACATGCATGACATATAAAAGACTACAACTCAAATCACTATTGTGGCACTGACTTCTAGTGCAAGCATTTACTGTCTCCATGCTGATCTGCAAAAGGAGATAATACCATCCTGTGACTCAGATATGAACACCAAGGAGCATGAAATGATGGTTTTGAAGGGTTCATAGTATCACAGAATATCAGAAGTTGGAAGGGACCTCGAAAGATCATCTAGTCCAACTCCCCTGTCAGAGCAGGATCACCTACAGTAGGTCACACAGGAACATGTCCAGGTGGATTTTGAATGTCTCCAGAGAAGGAGACTCCACAACTTCCCTGGGCAGCCTGTTCCGGTGCGCTGTCACCCTCACAGTGAAAAAGTTTTTCCTAATATTTTTGTGGAACCTCCTGTATTCCAGCTTGCACCCATTGCCCCTTGTCCTGTCATTGGGCATCACTGAAAAGAGCCTGGCATTGTCCTCCTGACACTCCCCCTTGACATATTTACAAACATGAATGAGGTCACCCCTCAGCCTCCTCTTCTCCAAGCTAAAGAGCCCCAGCTCCTTCAGCCTTTCCTCATCAGGGAGATGTTCCACTCCCTTAATCATCTTTGTGGCTCTGCGCTGGACTCTCTCAAGCCGTTCCCTGTCGCTGAGAACTGGACACAATACTCCAGATGTAGCCTCACTAGGGCAGAGTAGAGGAGGAGGAGGACCTCTCTCGACCTATTAGCCACACCCCTTCTAGTACACCCCAGGATGCCATTGGCCTTCTTGGCCACAAGGGTCCATTGCTGGCTCATGGTCATCCTGCTGTCCAGGTCCCTTTCCCCTACGCTGCTCTCCAACACATCAATCCCCAACCTATACTGGCACATCAAGTTGCTCTTTCACAGATGCAAGACTCTACACTTGCTCTTATATTCTATAAAACTACTCCCTGCCCAACTGTCCAGCCTTTCTAGGTCTTGCTGAATGGCAGCACAGCCTTCTGGTGTGTCAGCCACTCCTCCCAGTCTCGTGTCGTCAGTAAATTTGCTGACACTGCTCTCTAATCCCTTGTCCAGGTTGTTGATGAATATATTGAACAGCACTGGCCCCAGTACCGACCCGAGGGACTCCACTAGATACAGACTTCCAACTAGACTCTGCTCCATTGAATACAACATCAAACAAGTATGGAGGTCCACATGGATGGGAGGTGGCTGGCCCATTGCAGGTCTCCCTCAATGCAAAAGTGAGCTTTGCACACATTCATAGCAAGTGATGAATAAACAGGAGTCAGGCCTCCAGCTTTCTAGTTGTACAGATCCTGTGTTAAGATGGCAGCACTGTCTGGAATTTTGAAGTAGCTCCAACAAGTAAGATACTGCAGTGAGACTATGTGCATGAACAATCTCTCTTACAAGGTAAATCCTGGAAGCCCAAATGACCGCTCAGAGCTTTTGCTGGGGGCTTGACTAAGGGCTTTGTAGCTTTGGGCAAAGGACGAAATATGCTCCATCCTGATTACTGATTACTCAAGCTCTGTTTCATTGTACTTAGAGCAATCAACATCTCATCTATACCCCAAGTCAGGCAGTCTGCAGCCCCCTATCCATGCATGGCTTTGCTGGCCCACACTTGTTTGGAAGAAAGCAATTCCCTCTCTTTACTTGTTCACGAGCATCTTTGACAAACTCACAAACTCAATCCACTCTGTGGATATACAGAGCACAACACATCTAACTGATCTTTATGGCTACCTTGCACAGAGCAGAGATGCCACAGTCTTCTGTAACAAGACAAAATTGGAGACTGGCTTGGGATTCAGAAAGGTAGCAGAAGACCACAGACCACAGTACAGAAGCTGGCTTCAGTCAGTGAAACTTGGCAGAACTATAGTGCATTTCTTTCTACCTTGCAATAGTATCAAAAGGAGGAGATTCATAAGATGTGTTTCAGCATGCCTGCAGCTTTCAAGCAAGCCCATCACTCTGGGCACATCTCTTTGATGCAGAATAAAGAGGGTCCATTCTGGAGAAGGAGAAATTAAGTTCTGGACTGGAATACGGATGAGACAGTAGATGGAAAATTAGGAGAACTTGATGTTATTTCCTGCAAGGAAAATCACAGACTGATCACGTGGTAAACTTTATGTGAAGAGAATGGCACAGGAACAACACTTAAAGCCCAAAATAAGATAGTAGGAGTTTGATTGAATCTGTGGCACTATTTATAAACTGTCCTTTGTGCTGCTGTGTGGTTGGAGCACCTCTTTTGCATTCCTCACTCTGCAATATCCTGAAGAAGGAGCCCTTCTGCCTCCACACTTAACTATGAGCCTCTGCAGATAAGCAGGACACCTCAGCAGCCCTGTCTGCAGGTGAAATTGTGTGACTGCACTCAGCAGTTTGCCTGTTACAGGAAAGCACGCATCATGATCCTATGTCTTTCTGTGTTCCTACATACAGATATCTACAAGATAACTCAGAAGGGGCTTTCTGTTTAGCCAGAGCACAGGAAGCAGCAGACTATGTTGCTACTGCATAATGTCATGTTGCAGGAAAAGGAGACAATTGCAGGCTTTCTCATCCTACTGTTTTAGGACCACTTAGCTAATATGCCCCAATGCTGTGTCTCAGTTCAATGCCATGCTGTTTTTTCGCTCTCTCAGTTTGGACCTGTGAAATAGTCCATGGGTACTGACTGGACTACGTGCAGCACTGCTATCTAGGACAGTAACTGGATATTGTTCCACATTTACATGGGCTGAACTGAGTTTACTGACACAGATTGCCCTGGTATTTTGTCCTGTAACAAGCTCTGGATAGCAATAAAGTGAAACCCTCCACCCAACTCCCAGAACTCTGACATACAATTGCAAGAAAAAGTATGTGAACCCTTTGGAATTTCATAGTGTTCTGCATTAATTTGTCATAAAATGTGATCTAACCATCACCTAAGTCAAGAGTATTGACAAATATATTGTGCCTAAAATAGTAACACAAAACCAATTCTGATCCTCCATGTCTTTATTGAATACACTCATCCAGCATTCAGAATGCTAGTGGAAAAAGTAAGTGAACCCTTGAGTTGACCTCAAAAAAGCTAACTGGAGTCAGGTTAACCCCGAGTCTTCTTAAGAAAATGAGTTTGGAAGTGTGGACTAGAGCTACGTTGACTGATAAAAAACACTCAGATTTTTTGAGTTTGCTCCACATGAGACATATGCTTATGTGAGCCATGCCTCACCAAAAAGAGCTTTCAGAGGATCTATGATCAAGAATTGTTGATTTACATAAAGCTGGAAAGGGTTACAAAGAGATTTCAAAGACCTTAGAAATTTACCAGTCTACAGTTAGGCAAACGATCTACAAATGGAGACACTTTGGGACTGTGGCCACTCTACCAAGATGTGGGCACCCAGTCAAAATGACCCCAAGAGCACAATGAAGACTCATTAATAAGGTAAAGAAACAACCCCGAGTGACAGTCAAAGACTCAAAGGCATCATTGGAACTGGCTAACATCTGTGTTCATGAGTCTACAGTATGAAAAACACTGAACAAGCAGGGTGTCTATGGCAGGACACCAGGAAGGAAGCCACTGCTTATGCAAAGAACACTGCTGCACACCTGAAGTTTGCAAAAGAGCACACTGACACGCCACACTGGTATTGGCAAAATGTTCTGTGGACTGATGAAACAAAGACTGAACTATTTGGAAGGAGAACACAGCACTACATCTGGCATAAAAAGGGCAGTGCATATCATCATGAAAACAACTTCCCAACCGTAAAGTATGGTGGAGGAAACATCAGGATTTGGGCCTGCTTTGCTGCATCAGGGCCTGGCCAGCTTGCAGTCATTCAGGGGAAGGGGAATTCCAAATGTATCAAAAAATGCTTCAGGATAATGTGAGAATGTCTTTACGTCAGCTGAAACTCTGTAGACGTTGAGTGATGCAACAGGGCAATGACCAAAAGCACCAGAGCAAGTCCACCACAGAATGACTTCAGAAAAACAAAATCTGCCTTTTGGAGTGGCCAATTCAGAATCCAAACCTCAACCCAATAGAGATGCTGTGGAATGACTTGAAGAGAGACATACACATGAGACATCCAAAGGATATGACAGAACTAAAGCAGTTCTGCCAGGAGGAATGGGCTAAAATCTCTCCTGAAAGATGTGCAGCTTTGATCCACAGTTATTGATTCCAAGAGTTCACTTACTTTTTCTGCTGGCATTTTGAATGTTGAATGAGTGTGTTCAATAAAGACATGGAGGATCAGAATTGGTTTTGTCTTATTATTTTAGGCACATTATATTTCATTATATTTGTAAATACTCTTGACTTAGATGATGGTTGGATCGCATTTTATGACAAATTTATGCAGAACACTATGAAATTCCAAAAGATTCACATACTTTTTCTTGCAACTGTACTCTTGCCACAGGTCTTTCCCTCACCTCAGATACTCTTCTCCTTCAGAATTCATTTTTCTTGAAACTTGTCGACATTTTTAAGTCTGTTTCCAAGTCATCCAGAAATACTAACACATTTTCTCAAAGAAAACACTAAAGTACCATCTTCCTTAGTTTCTTCATTCAGCTTTAAAATTATACAACTGTAGACTCGTTTAGGTAGTAAAAGGCCTTTAAGATCATCAAGTACCACCATTGACCTAACACTGACAAGTCTACCACAGAATCATGTTCCTAAGCCCCACATCTACAAGTCTTCTAAATACCTCCAGGGATGGTGACAAGCCTGTTCCAGTGTTTGTTAAATCTTTCACTGAAGAATTTTTTCCTAATAGCCAATCTAAACCTTGTTTGGTGTAACCTCAGGGCATTTGCTCTTGTTCTATGGCTAGTTACTTTGGAAAAGAGACTGACACCCACATTGCTACAACATCCTTTCAGGTAGTTGTAAAAAGTGACAAGATGTCCCCTCAGCCTCCTTTTCTCCAGACTAAACAATCCTAGTTCCCTCAGCTGCTCCTCATAAGACTTGTTCTCAAGACCCTTCACCAGCTTTGTTGCCCTTCTTTGGACAAGCTCCAGCACCTCAATGTTCTTCCTGTAGTGAGTGGCTCAAAATCAATACTTGAGGAAATACTCTGTCCAACAGTCATAATGAAAAGTTTGAGATGCAACCAATGCCAAATTGAGGGCTTTAAAAGGCACAAGAGTCGCTGACTAGACAATGAACTCTGATGATATAGTCAGAGAACTGGGTGCCCAGCTACGCTGAGTATTGTTGATATCTACCTTCCTGACGGGTGAAGGTCTGGCCCTCTTTTAAACAATTGTCTGGTCTTGATTTCTTTACAGGTACACTTTTATTCTTTACTGTCAAGTACATATTAAACTCTCTTTCTTTAAGCTTTAAGAAGCTGCCATGTTTTTTTTAGGAATACCTAAGCTAAGAATGCTCTGGAGCAAAAAGAAATGAACACACAAAAAAGCATCACCCAAATATCAGTGCAGGCAAGTTTCTGATTATCGCTGTAAACACTGATACATGGTGTTTCTAGCATGACCTAAATGTTACAGGATGACTGAGTCTAGTGCTTAAACACAGAAGGCTTCTTGTCAGAATACCTGCCCATTGGTGGCAACAGCATTAGGCGGTTGCATTCATGTACTCATGGGCATAAGTCTTGGCTCAGTTTGCTTCAGTGCATATATAGTTAATGACGTACGTCAATGTCAAGAATCATAGTAAAAACATCACCTGCCAGAGTTCGAATCTTGTGGTCTGAAAAATGCAGCAGAAGTGCTGCAAAGAGAAAGATGAAGCATCCAGAGTATAAGAAAAACACCTGTTGCTATTTTGTACCGTATCTGTGGAGCCCCTGGCAGAGGTGAAAACTGCACTGTGCCCCTTGCACAAAAAGGTGATCCTGCTGGAGAGCCCCATATCAGAAATGTAGGGGAGAAGGAGCAGAGATATAACCAGTGAAGGACAGCACGCCTGGCACAGAGGATAAAAGTGAAAATTTTTTTCCCCTTTGATCTTTTAGCAGGGACTGTAAGGAAGAGTGGGAATACCTGAAGCACACAAGAGCACATCTTTGGGAAGAGTCTGGAGAAGAGAGAAACAAGGATTGCAGAACCTAAGTTGGTGGCAAAAAGTCCAGGAAGAGGTGAGTCAAGAGCATATATAATTCTCAACAGAGTGTGGAGGAGGAAATTATTTAGCATTTTGTAGTTCCTGAAATCACGGAGACGAACAAAGGCACCTAGTGAGAGATAGAAAGAGGCAGTAAGAGCATATCCTGAAGGACAGCTGCAAGACGAACCAGAACAGTATGTACCTTGGCTTAAAAATGCCTGAGAGAGCAGTGGACATGAAAGCAGTCAGTCATGGGGACAATTTGCAAAGAAGCTGGGTGAACTCTGGGCAGTTAGATTCCAGGCTGAGAGAAAGTAATCAGGAATAGTCAAAAATCACAGTGTAACAGAAGGAGAGTGTTAAAAGGCAGGGCAGTCAAACACTGAAAAGGAAGGAAGATGAGCCCGGAAGCCTATGCAATATGAGACAGAATCCAGATCTGATGAACCAAGCATGTACACTCTATGGCTGTCAGTTTAAAAGCTAAAAACTTATAGAGGGGAAATATATTTATTTCATATATATTAAAAACAAAACAACAAAAACCCCAATAAAACAAATAAACAAACAAAAACAATGAAAAAGTCCCCCAAAAAAAACATCAAAACCCCTAATAATATCCTGTTTTCAAATTCGCTCATGTAAGACAAAAGCGCGCTTCTGGGGAGGAGAGAGGGAGCTCAGTTCACAGTTAGGTGTAGTTCCAGCTGCCACTACTACTTCATGACTGTTTACAAACCCACCCTCTAAATAAAAGCATGCATTACTTGTTGATGGCTTGTCCAGCTGGAGTGTGTTCTACCTCGTACCCTTCTCTCCTCAAAACATCAATCACTGTGTTGTTGCCCAAGAAGTGACCTGCATTTAAGAAAAAAATGATGTAAGAACTCACTCAGAGAAACAACAAAGTCCTTCCTCACTACAGGAGGTGTGCCACACTCAGAGCAGGCAGTGCTTTATTAGTCCCCACCAGCATGCACAAGAAACAAAGGTTCTCTAACAAATGATTGCTAAACTCTTCCAAGGGCACTTCAGTTACTACATTCTGCCTTTCTAAAATGTAGATGTGATGGAAATTACTCTGGTCCTGCAGGATGCTGCATTATCAGGACACTGTGGATTTCTTGGGGCAATAAGAGATTGACAGGCAGCTGTTCAGAAGCAGAACCAAGTCTACAACTGGTAGTGGTGTGAACCGGGTCAGAATCTGGCTGCAGTGTGTACATTTTTACATCCTTTGGCATCATAAATGCACTATGTGAGATGTCAGACAACATCATTAACAATTTTTAAATTATTAAGAATCATCCAACTCCAGGGAATGGAAAATAACTCTGAGAGTCAATTACTTAGATCAGCTCATTTCATTCCTTCATTATAAGCCACCAGGGACAGAAACTCCACTTTGGTCATGCTGACAAAAGTTTTGGAAGGACTTAGCTAACACTGCTCTAATTCTGTGATTTATGTCTTCATTTTCAGAAAGATATGGTGGCTGGTCATCCACTATCACTCTAATAGCTCAGCAGACAAGGCTGTTGAGAAGCAGATGGACAACAGAGACCTTGCAGATCCCTCATAGATCTAGCTTTCTTGAAAATATTTGTTCATCAAACAGACCGTATTAATTAAAATTAGGCTTGAGTAAATGACTCATTAGAGTGATACTTTGCCTCTGTGAACGTACACAGTGCTAAAACCAGTAACTTCCGAAAAACTGTTTTCTGCTGATATTTCTTCATAATAACACCAGAATCATTCCAGTAGCCAGAAGATGCAAGGAGATAGAAAGGGAAGTCCAGTGGTGATGAGAATAACAGGGGTATAAACCCAAGGGATTTATGATTTTTT